TTCACAGCAAATCCAGGAGGCCCAGATTAACACTGTCAGATTTGATTTCAACACTTTTAAAGTGTCTATATGGGTCCACACCAGAAAGTGTTAATTTAACTCTTTTTGGAGAGTTGGTACCTTAACTCTAATAAAGTGTCAAATATCAAATCTGCTGGAGTTAATCATTTAACACTTACTAACACTAATTCAGTGTTAGATCTTAATATTAACTCTCACAGAGTACTTCTTTAACTTCTTAAGAGTTATTTGTAATTAATATTAAATAGGTACTTTATTGTGTTGAACTTTTAAAAATTCTTTGGAAAATAAACATTTAATAAAGAGGCAATGATTTTCTCAAATCCATTTATTTCAAAACGTGCACCATAATTACAAAACATATTACAACGTGGAATAATGTGCATGTTTCACATGTCACTTTCATTCACATATTGCTTTTTAAAAGGTCTAACATATCAGCTGGGCAATACAAAATGCAGTATGCTTAATACATTTTTCTTCAATACAATATGCATGAAATTGTTCAAAGTACAAGGTGGAGAAAGTAAAGCCTGTATCAATGCATGCAGTTCATGTAATATTTGATAGAGTACATTTTCTTTTAACAGGTAGATTGCCAGATATGTACAGTACATAACAGACCAACCTGATATTCAGATCCATCATTTCTTATCCAGTTTATGTTTCTGTTGATAAGAGACAGTTCCTCTCTGCACTCCACCAGAGAGATGTCCATCACTAACAGATTGTCTTCAGGTTGTTGGGCTGTTCGTGACGTTTGGCCGGAGACACCAACATGCTCCTCTACTGCATCGGACCGTCTTCAGTCTCTGAGTACTACAGCCAGTGTCGGTCTCTGGATCATAACAAAAAAACAAACAAACATAACAATGAGGAATGGAGCGAAGGAATACATTTTTACTACAACTCTAACAACAAGCCTCCATTAGAGAAATGTGGAGTTTCACAGATATTAACACTTACATAATCATTTTTGGAGCTTGAATCTTCGAAGAATCCATGGAGGGATCAGGAGGGGGAGGTTAGGCTGGAGATTCATCCTCAACCAGACTGGTTCTAATATATACAAAAAGGCAATAAAAAACATGCTGCAAACGTATTTAAGACGACACAACAGTGGGATTAATGCTCTCAAAGTAAAAGTCTTTTACATTTTTTCAAAGGAAAAAAAATCGATCAGAAAGGTTGATAAATCTGATCAATATGCATGTAAACGTTCAACATCATGAAAAAACATACTCCAGATTATTACGGATCTGTTCAAGTTAGCCAATAATTTGATTAAATCTTCACCGGCTCGATATTTTTCCAACAAATACTCCGCTAACATTCGGCATGCTAAGCTAAAAATGCTAACACCGAGCCGTGTCTATCATACAGGTTGAGCTCAACTCAAAATAATAGTTATAAACCATCTCAGAAAAAAATTACTTACCAAGTACAGTAAATAACTCAGACATGTGGAGAGTAAATAGTCCTGAAATGACTTGGCTTCTGTTGCTTCGGTGGGAATCTGTGATTCTGGGGCGGAGGCAGTGAATTAACTCCTTCAGTGTTAGAGCCACTGTAAGGAGTTCAGAGTTAAGAAGTAAAGAGTTATTGATTCCATTTTAACACCTCTAGATTTGATAAGGAAACACTTTGTTTTAACACTGGATTTTAACTACTAATAATATACACCCCA